AACCTGTTCTTAAAAACTTCTAAAACTGGAGATTCTGCAATCTCTCTAGATAGCCTGTTCCAATGATTAATGACCCTTCTAGTAAGAAAGTTCTTCCCAGTATCCAACCTCAATTTTCTTTGCTACAGTTTGCCCAGTTTTCCCAGTAGTACAATATTCAAACAGAAAATATTTTCCCTAGCTCTGCCAGCCAATACTGTACAGACATGTACAGTCTCTTATTGCAGTCATAGGAACGATCAGTACCATTGCGTGACTAGGTTAACAAGCCTCTTCAGTGCTGCTGTTTTTCCTCCTTGAGACGGAGTACTTTTGAATCGATAGTCGTAAATAAGATGATCGCGCTAGCATTCTCCTGCTGTTGCAAAAACCCATTTTTGCTATTAGTAGGGACCCACTGAAATTGCAATTGCGTGATTTTCATGGAAACTGTGATTTTGGGCAGGCTTCATGATAAAATTTTGGCTCGCTGGGAAAAAAAAATTGGCAAGCAGAGAAAAGTTCAGGAAGCCCTGCAGTCTTGGAGTGTGGGGGGGAGCCTGCTGCTGCTTGGGGCTAGCCCCAGACCATGGCTTAATTACCTTGATTAAGCATTGGGAAGCTATTACTTAATAGCATGGATTAATGGCTTCCCTGGGGTTAATCAGGGTAATTAAGCCAGTTTGGGGCCATCTGGCAATCTGTGGGGAGGGGCGAGACTGTGGGGGGCCCTCGGCCAGTCAGAGGCTGGGGGGGTCAGCCCATAAAAATGGTGACTGACTCTGGGATCTGCCTGTGAAATTGGCTGGCTGCCTCCTTGAGTTGGGTGGACACCTAGCTATTAGTGGTGGATGAACAGTGGGACTCCACCTAGTTGCATCCGAGTAGCCTGCTTTGCCATCTTGGACGTTGCTACAAGAAATATGCTCCCTGAGCCCATTACTTCAGCAAAGGATGTTACTGTCGTTGATCCGTTTTCTCTAATGCAGAGATGTTGCTTCTGGACGTGCTGCCTTCAGCAGCATTATTATTTTGGCACGGTGCTGTTCTGAATGGTGACCATCAGTCCAGGAGCCAAACAGAGTAGTGCTGCTTTCTTCTACCCATCCAGCTTCACCTGAACAAGATTAACTTATGGTTGTCTGTGTGCCTGTCTCACTCTGCAATGTGCCATTGTTTAATTTAAATACATAAATAACAGTACTGTGTTATGGTTGTATTTATTGTGTTCAGGTATGCCTAGGTTTTACCTCCACTGCAGTGCTAGGAAATAAGAACAACTGCACTTCTGAAGGGGGAAGAACACCAGGGGCCAGCTTTAAGTTAACATTTCTTGAGCGTACTCTTTTCTTCTACCTTGAAATCTTGCAGACGATATGAACAGAGATATTGGAGAGCAACGTGAGAAGCACTGGCAGTTACCCACAAGCAGAGGGGATTTAAGGAGAGCACTCTTTTGAATGTGCAAATATAATAGATGGCATTCTGTATACGCACTGTCTGTCATGTCCTCAGTTATCCTCTTCTTGGGCAAGCAGCAAAGAAATGAACCATTTGCATATCTGCTCTCTGCAAAAGAATGTAGAAACTGTTTGGCAATGTTGGGTTCTCCCCCAGCTTCATCAGTGTTGCTCTGTTGGATGTTCTTCATTTGGTTGGTGCTGGTTTGTACAATCATCAGTGTCTTCTGCAAGTGGAATATTGCACCACACTTGGCTCTTCCCCTTCCCATCCTTTCTCCTCTGGGGCCTAGCCCAGACTGATATTTCTCTGGAAAATTTGCAGCATCTTTATACTACCAGGGCAGGTCAACCAGAGCTACCAACAGCAGAAGCACAGAAGTACATCAGCCACCAGTCTTTACCACCTAGCCCTGGTCGCACTGACTTTAAAAGGGTTAGTTTCTGCACAGGGGCAGTGCCCTGGTTGGTGTTCCTTATCCAGGAGGAAACTGAGTTGGGGAGGAAATCAATCAACATCAGCATTTACCATTAAAATCAAATTTTGTTGAAACTAACAGACTTTTTCATAGAGCAGCTTATGTGAATTTTATGAACCGTCTGTCTTGAGGCTTCCTGCTATTGTCAACTGAACAAATAAAGTTAAATATGACACACTGAAATGGTTTGATAATGATGCATTACATATTCTTGTAATTTTTGTTACATTAGGACTCTCAGCTCTTTGTCATGTAGTCTGTTTGTATGTAGATGTCCTTTTACAGTGTTTAATAATGTTTCTTCATTGCCTGGACATAGCTCATTCTCATAGTTAAATAGCAAAGTTCAAAATATTCCTCATAAACTTTGTGTGGCATAAAATAGTTTGCAAGCAGGGAGAAAAGTAAAAAACCCAAGCACAGCTAGTTTGCATTTGAACTTTGCCAGTGCTCATGTCTTCGCTATCAGGTACCTGGTCCTCTCTCTGTGTCAGTGGTTCTCAACCTTTTTAGACTCTAGGCACCCCTCAGGACTTCAGGAAAATGCCAGCTCTTAGCTTTCACTCTTTTTGACTACAGAAAAATACTAGAACAATTCTTCTATTGCAGAGAACTCTGGAAGATAATGAGAGGTCAGATTTCTTTTATTTTAACACTGGATTCCTGTTTGAAAACTCTGGATTTATTTGGTACCCTGGTTGAGAATCACTGCTGTAGGTTGCACAAGATGCCCATCCTGGAGAATACTTGGAAGTAGTTCCGTGGCAGGAACCCAAATGAATCTCTGGCTTTCTACCTTGGCTTGATTGGTGCTTGCAATATCAATCCGGGGGTTAGTAAAATTGCAGAAAATGGCGGGAATAAGGAAAATGAAATAGATTAAAACCTCTTAATGTTATTTTTCCAGGCAAAACGTCTGTCGACACTCTCTCTTCAGTATGAGAAGAGATTAGTAGATGAACAGAAAGGAGGAAAGAAGAAAATAAAGATAGTCAGCAATCTGGTATGCATTTTTTGTTGAATGATAGGATACAAGATATTAAGAAAGCATGCTGTTGTGCATGTGATTTGTAGGTGTGTGCAGGAAGCTACATCTAGAGTTAAGATTGTTCAGCTCTTTTATGTGATACGTTTTTAGTTGCCCTTAACTTGGCCAGATTTAAACTACTTAGGAGATGGTTTTTTTCCATGTTTAGTGTCTGCCTTAGGTTGAAGATTTTTGAGAAGTTTAAGCTGGGAATAAGGGGAGAGAGGCAGGGGCACATGCAGGAATAGAGGTGGGGAGATGGACAGGAGGGTAGGAATAAATGGCAGAAGGAGAGGAGCGGGGAGGGACAAATAAGAATAGGAAGGGGGCAGCAGTTGAAGGAGGCACATGGGGCTACACAAGGGCAGTATTTGGGGGTGGGAAAGAATAGGCCAAAGTCTGGAGGCTAGTAACAGCCAGAGTACAGGGCAGGTCCTGGGAAGGTGGGGCAGAAGGGGGTGTAGGGAAAAACAAGGGAAGAAGACTTTGTTATCCCCTGCAGAACCTGGAATTACTTTTAAGTCTCTGTACCTCCTTTGCTGTCCTTCCAAGAGCTTGCTAGAGAAGCGTGTCCCAATCCTCCTCTGGTCTGTGTAGAAGACAACGGCCTTCTCCTGTTGCCATCTATGCCACTAGCATAAATAGTTGAGGACTGTGCTGGTGTGCTGAAGGCCTGTGCCCTGCTCATGACTCATATGAGGGGACAATATGGTTCCACAGGATGACTTTTTTTCCTTCAACTTTTAAATTCAAAGAACTTGAGAAATTCTGTTTTAAAATGACATCAGATGGATGTTATGATGTCAAAGCCAAAAAGGCGAGACACTTCATCATTAAGGCAGCTCTTAATTTGTTGCATAGGCATGTATATTATGAAACAGTCATTAATAGCATGGCCCCACAGATAGTGTTCAAGGTGAGAAGGACACTCTTGTCTGTAGATCCCTGCCTGATTTTGCAGAAGTGGGAAGTATGTGGTGAATGAGGCCGTGACTAATTAGATTGTTTCCTAATGTGTATATACAAATGGGTCAAATTAAGACTGATAGTACAGCCACCACTACAGTGCTGACACCCAGCTCCACCT